TGAGACAATGAGAAGTGAAATGATAGGCCTAAATATAGGTATGTTTAGTAGCTGAGATGGAAAAAGCATCCAGAAATCCTGTATTTTAATATTAGATCTGGTACCGTGTTACAGACGGATATGGCATGGGAATAGTAATTAGGTTCTTTGTGTTATTCATTTCATTGTCTGCTATTCGTGCTGTGGAGTGACTTATGTTCACATCCAATTAAAAGAAATATTTAAAGAAATTCCAATAGTGCTTTAGAATAATGAAATTGCCTTTACAAAGCATTGGCTTTTTGCTGCTTTGTTTCCTTGTGATCCAGAACAGTAGGTGAAGGGTTGAAAACACAGATGTTACCTCCTTTTTTTTTTTACTTTTGTTCTAGAGTTGGTCTGTAACATTGAGTCTTGCATGTGTGAACCATTGCTCTCCCCCAGGTAAAATGTAAAGCTGCATATATAACCTTAATAGGTTCAACTGCACCTTGTTCTTTTGATGATCTGGAATCCATTTTCCAAGCATTTTCTTTTCAGGTAGTTGCATACATCTGCCTGGCAAACTGCTAAATACTTGTGGAGGTTTGCACAACATGGTTTGAATTGCTTAAAATGCTTTCCTTATAGGTTTCTGTTATAACCATTTTAACTATGCTACTGAATTTCTAAATGATCGCTATAAGCAACTAGAGAACAGTTTGTAGAGACACAAGCAAATGTAGATTTTAGCAGGAGGATTAAAATAAATTGAACCTGAAAATATGGACTGAAAAGCTTAGTATATTTACTGTGACAGCATTGTATTGGGCTCTAGGGCAACCCTTCAGAGGAGGTTTTGGAAGTCAAGTACATAATTTAAAGTAGATTAGAAAGATACACTACAAAATGTGAGCAGAAAGCCTTCCTGTATTTCAGCAGTAAATTCAATGTTGCATGTGTTCGATCAGTGCAAGCAGAATATTTAAAACTGTTACAGTTATTACGATGTGTGGTCTGTGTGTTTAAGTTACACACAGTTGACCCTACTTCTTTGGTTTGTGCAACAGCAGGAAGAAACAGATGATTTGTTTCAGTATATGTACATTCCACATACACGCACAGTCTGGGCTAATGCACATGCTACTGCTATTTTTCTGTGTGGTTTTGCTTTGTTTTTTTTCTCTTGCCTGCACTACCCTTCTGATTTCTGTGGTCCGTGTTGTTCAATTAGGAGATTTTCAGAGTCATTGAATAGTCTCCCTTTGATCTCACAATGTCTTTAATTTGGCTGACACCCCCCAGTAACCCAGCTCAGCTCTGACAGGCTCTGTTGGGGTAAGCTTTAAACTGTAATTGAATAACTCTTATGTTCTGAAAACCTTGGGTACATCCCCCTCCACTCTTTCCCTGCTCCTGATGAGGACCAATTCTAGTTGTCAGCTTTTTTAAGGGATATGGTGTAAAAAAGCAGCAAAGTGAGCACCATAATGACAAGCTGCAGTCATCCTCTAGTAGAAGTAGGTGCAGTAGCAATAACCTGCAATAAAGCAGCATGCACTTAGACCTGTCCTAATCTGGGGCCTTGGAGAGATTCCACACATGAGCAGTGTTTTCCGTTTCTTGTTGCTTTTAGGTGGATGGATAAGAGTTTGTGTGTTTTTAAGGTGAACAATTTGTTTCCACTCGGGTAATCACCAGAGCTCTTACATTACATGAAGGATATTCAACCACGAGTTCTGTTCAGGTTTCTTCCTTCCATCTGTGGGAGGAGAAGGCAGGCATAAAGAAGGGAAGTTGTCTCAGCCTCTAACAGCGTTATGAAGGTTCTCAGAAACCCTGGTAGTGTGGAGTGTCTGATGGCTGGAAATTTCTGGGTAGAGTGTAAAATCCATAGTTGCAGTATAGAGGTTGGCATGCACAGATGAAGACTGATGTAGACTCAGAGTCCACACTGATGAAGGGAGATTACTATTCTTTCTATAATATCTTCCCAGTTTGGGTTTCTGTGAGGCATTTTATGGGCCCTGTTCCCCAGTGAGACAATCTGTAAGAGTCATTCCATGTAATGTCCTGTGAAAGCAAAATTACATTTGAGAAGAAGGAATCCACATGTGATAGAATAAGGAGGAAAGATACTGACAGAAAAAGACAGGTTTATATTTTGTATAAGAACAGCAGATTGTATTTAGGAAATAGGAAATGGAATAAAATTATTTAGGACTGAGCTTCCCAAGAGATGCTCTTCTGCAATTGCATGTATGTATGTACTACTTTGTATGAGTATGAATTCTTATGGTGAGATAGTGATGATGTGATGATGATCCTACCTAAGATTTTACATTTTAAATGTGAAAGATTGTGAATAAGGGTTTTCATATTTATGATGTGGATATTTACTTAACTATACATATCAGAGCAAAACTTAGAAAGGTATGGTAGTCTCTTTTTCTCTTGCTTATGTTATAGCTAAAGATATTTCTGATTAGCAGTATTTTTTTGCCTAGAAGGGTGACTTCCTTTTCAGACTTCCCTGTGGTTTTCCTCAGGTAAATATCAGCTAACTGAATTTCTGGTGATAAATTTGTAATGCCATTTGAGCTTGGGACTCAAAGGGACCAAGTTGCAGTCCTTCAGAGCTGTGCTGCTTTATGACTTTCTTCATCTCTGTGTTTCATAACCATCTCAAACTTCAACTTGAGCTGTGTCAGAAAGCAGAGGTCATTATCTGAATCAGGGTGTTCCTAGTTCAAAATAGAAGTATACTGTTTATATCCTAACATGTTTACCATCTGACAGCTTCCTGTGCTCTCCAAGGAATGATTTAAAGATGTTGGTTTAATTCCTATTGCACAGTTATCTGTATCACAGAAGTTACTGTTGCATTTGAGTATCTTAGCAGAAACAAGAAGGATTGACTGCTGCTTATTTCTCAGCCAGCTCTCTTCTCTCAAGGACCTGAATCCCATGTTTGGTAATGTTGATTTAAAGTTTCTGTTGTTTTCAGAGGATATCATGTCAAATTCCAGGATGACTCTTATAACCAAGAACTGAGGCAGTGTTATTTTTTAGTTATTTAGTTTACTTCACAAGCCTTACTGTAAGTGCCTTTCTCTACTTTATGCTTTCAATTCACTTACCTCCTTTTAGATTTGGTCTCTTAGGTACATCACCTGAATGTAAATGGTAATTGGCTTTGCAGTTAGGCTTTGTTTGCTTCTATGCATGAATTCTCTCCAGAAGGTGTTCATCACTGATCCTTTCTTTCTTTATGTCTACTGGAAACTATCACTCCAAGAAGAGAATGAAGAGACATAAATGACCCACTTGCTGTTCTATCAAAAGCACAGGTAGATTTAATTTACACCAGAAACTGTGACTGGAAAGTGAGCCTATTTCTGAGAGCCCTCTGCTTCCTTTATTTCCTTTCTAGCTTCACTTCAGATTTTTGTTTCATTTTTTAAGCTCTGCATAAATTTTCACCATGGGTTTCCTTCCCTGTTATTGCCAGCCAGCCCACTGATCAGGCACCAGGATTTCAGTCTTGCTAAGTTTGTGTATTGTGTTGCAATCAGAAGTCAAATATGTGATAATGAGTGTAATATGCTTCTGAGTGTTGTGATGTTTAGTGGGTAGACATACATTATGAAGACTTTTCTTGTCTACAGTTTGTGATGGAGATGAGTCATTCTTTGGGGAAAGGTTATAGTCATGTTGTAAATCTCATTCTAACAGTGAAAAATAATAAAAAAAAAAGATCCAGCAGTGATAAATAACGACCATCTGGAACCTAAACGATATAATTGTATTATGATTTGTCATCCACATAAGATAAGCTTCTGAGAATGTTTAAGTTGAAGGCGTAGACACAGAGATACCAAATGTGTTAACTGCTTCAAGTACTAAAGTTAAATGAATTTGAACAATATGTTCCATATGAGGTGGAAAGACTCCTAGAACCAAGACAATGGAATTCCTTGCAGCACAGCTGTATGAGAGTAGGTAGGCATTGGGAGAAGCTGTATAGTAGGTTTTACATTGCTTTAAAAAAAAAATAGGGCTCGCTTTAATTATTTGACAGATGAAAATTAATTTACATCAAAAGAAGCCTTCAAATGCCTTTTATGGTTTAACTCTAGTTGATGTATCTCCAAGATTAGCAATGGGTGCAGATGAACTGTGTATGGGTTTGTCAAGCTTTAAGAAATATGTACTGCTGGAAATGAATCTCTTCTATGACTTGAAGAAAAGAAACAGAGATTGCTGAAAAAAGACATGGGAAGAAAACAAGAGAATAAAGACAGCTAAGAAATGGGAAAGCAGTGAAAAAAGCAAAATGCCTTGTGAAATAAGTACTCTGAATCAACATCACATAAATTTCTGCTTCTGCCAGCTGCCCACTCACTTTCTCTTTTAATAGAAGGAGTCATCATGGCTCTGAAGCAAGTAGTGTAGGGAGCTGTGCATCTTCTAAGGAAGTGAGTTTCCTGTCTTAGTGGGATTTAGCTTGCAAGACTGACTTAGTAATGGATTTGATCTCTTTAGGGTGTATATAACATATCAAAATGGTAGAAGCAGTGTTTTATTTTTCCAAGGACACTCCTCCAATACAGAAGTGAAGCTTCAGAAACAGCTTTATTATTTCCTTTTTGAATGCAACAGTAAAAAAATTTAGTTCTTTAAAAACCCTTTTACCGACATTCATTTAGTCTCACAATGCTTCTGTGAGGGAGGCATTAATATAACATATGTTTTGTAGATATGAATCTGGAACACCAGATAAGACAGTGGGTGATTTGTCCCACGCCTGTCAGCAAGGCCTTGGAGTACAGACATGGTTAGAACCCGGACAAACCTGGCACTGAGTCTTGTGCTCATTGCTCGTAGCCAAGCTGTCTCTCAGCTGAGGTATGTCTAGGGACAGGCACACGAGAGTCTTGCCAGACTTGCACAGCTGATTTGTTTTCTGAAAAACTACTTAGGTGACTAAAATCAAAGACATGTTTTACCGACATTTGTTATTTCTCTTCCTTTCTTTTTAGCTGGTCTTGCCAGAGTACTCTATCCACAGTCTTTTCTGCATAATGTTTTTATGTGCTCAGGAGTGGCTCACGCTGGGGTTAAATGTTCCTTTGCTTTTTTATCACTTGTGGAGGTAAGCCCTTCTTTTATATGCTGACTGCTTGTTAGCCTTGCTTGCCAATTCAGCACACATGCAGATTGCATGAACAATGAAGGACAGTGATAGGAGTATGGATGAATATCTTTTGCCCAGAGGCTTATACCTATAAGCAGCTGAAACTTACATTTCCAGCAAAAAAGGAAATTTTTTCATGAAAATTTAGTGGAGATATATATATATATATATATATGTATCTTTATATGTCTCCCCTATCTCTCTGTATATATATGTATTTATATTATATTTATATATTATCTCCCCTATCTCTCTCTCTCCCATATAAATGTTGCTTTCAGTTACTAACTTAGGTAGATATTCCAAAGAGTGTCAGGATGCACACACTGCAACTGAATGAAAACATGGAATTTAAATAGGCTGGAATCTGAATGTGGAACTCGGTGAAGCTCTAAATACTTCACAGATGGGGAGTTGTAAGACAGTTGGTATTTGAAAGAGCTTGGACCTATTCATTCAGCCCTAACAAGGAAACCTTTCCATTGGAGCTGTGAAATAAAGACTGGGCAGATTGACAGATTTTTGCATCTCATCTTCTTTGGCAGCTTTATGACTTTTTTTCAGTATAAAATAAGTTGTTTCTTTCTGTACAATAGGGAATTGATGTTCTGCAAGAGAACTCTCTCTTAGAGACTCTTGGAGTAGGGATTGCAGTAGGTGAAGAACTATTGTCTTCACACTGCACATGTGAAGAAGTGGGGAGTATTTCCACTCTGGATCTCTGATATGTGTTTTTATTCACCAAGGGGCTTTCAAATTGATCACGTAAGACCTGCTGCTGATTTCCAGATAGGCAGTACAGCTGCTACTGCATCTTCCTCTGCATTCTAGTGGAGGATCAGCCTTCTGTTGCCTCTGAAAATGACCAAGAGACATCAGTTTTTGCATTTGTCAGTCTGGAGTCTTCCCTAGTTTTGAATTTTCACAATGTTTGTAAAAGCCCAGATGATTTTTGTCTGTCGGGGTCTCTTTGTGTTACAAAGGTACATATGGTAGCAGAAGAATAATTCTGTAAAGAAGTCAAAACTGTCATCTCAAACAGAAACTAAAAAGTAGTAGCTTTTTTACACTTTTTTTTCTGCAAAACCTTGGTAGTAATGCAGAGTCATGTGATAAATTCAGAAGTTAGAGTGCCAGTATAGTTCTCAGAAAGCTAAATGAAGTGAAGCTTCAAATGCTTTTCTCCCTATTGTTTGGCTGCAATAAGAATAACAATGTTTTATGGTGCTGTTTTACTAAGGGTTAACAACCAAAGTTGACAATAATAGTCATTTTAAAAGTTTCTAGAAACAGATATGTCCAAAAGGAAAATGATCAGACTCTAAATAATGATATAAATCTTTGGAGAGAACTTTTGATTCTCTATTTTTTTCTATGATTCTCCATATGCTTTGCTATAAGTACTCCATAATTTCTGCTGCTTTAACCACAGACAGGTTTGGGTTCATTGTGTAAAGTTCTGCACAAAACTATGGGAAGACACTGTGTAATATCTTCATCCCAGTGAAGATAATTAAGAAAGGTTTCGCCTGTGGTCTCCATAAAAGAATTTGCAATCTTATTAGAGGCTGTAAGTGGATGCAACTAACATTGCAAGGCAGGAAGGCAAAGTTATTTTTAGAACACCTGCTTTCAAAGTTTGCTGCAGGTCACTTGTTTGGCGGTTTTATATCTATCTATCTATTTGTCTATCTATAAGCAGTCAGCAGTCCTCAGTGTTTAGCATGTCAAAGCAATAGAAATAACAATATTTTATCTGATTCATGCTGATCTTAAAGCAGTTCATTAATTTTGTTGAGGACTACTTTTTTTTTTGTTTGCTTTTGCTTTTTACTGCAAAGTAACTGAGACAAAAGCTCCTTTGCCAGCGATGCTGTTTTGTCATGATTTTCTCAAACATTCAGTCGTTGCTGAGAATAATTAGAAATTTCTCTTAGGTAAGAAGAAAAATATTTTCCAAATAAAATTATTTGGATGATAAATTTTTGAGCAGTGCCACATGTAGGAAACCTTAGTCAGCTGGCTCTTACATTACTCCATATCGTTTTCTCTTTCCTTTTCAGAGTTGGAGGAACTTAGCTACCATGTGGTTGAGACTGTCACCTTTCATCATATCTGAAAAAAGTTGTGTGGCTGCAGTTAAAGCCCAGTAATCCTTCCTGTATGCTATGATCACAAGCCACCATATATTATCACTCACAATATGTGAGTTATTAGTAAGCCAGAAATAACTGTATAGGAAGTGGCAATGTTTCAATCTGAAGAATTAATAGAACACAGAAAGTCCGCATTCATTAAGTCTTGGTTCTATAAGAAAGGAGTACTTAGACTGGCATCCTGATTTTAATAATGTCTAGAAATAGAGACTTGGAAAAAAAGAGAAATTCCTCCTGTGTCATGGAAGATGGTAGTCTTCTGAGCTGGTGATCAGGAGGGTGAATATCTGCACATATTTAATACAGAATATTATAGAGTCATTCCAAATGTCTTCTCCTGCTCTTTCAGGTATTTTCGTTGCCCAGCAGATAGTTCAGAGCTAGCCTATGATCCACCTGCAGTCATGAATGCAGATACCTTGAGTTACTGCCAAAAAGAGGCCTGGTGTAAGCTGGCTTTCTATCTCCTTTCCTTCTTCTACTATCTCTACTGGTAAGTCTGGTCATTTCACTAAGAAAATAATAGCTGCTTTTCATTTCACTTGTGAAACTGTATTTAGAAATAACTGGAACCAATTGACCAGTTTCCTTAATCTCATAAAATTTGCTTCTGGTGTTGATTCAGGGAAGCACACCCACTTACTGCTGACACCTCAGTACAGAATATTAAGTGTTTATCTAAGGCCTGAGCCAGGCCCCAGGGCCAACCCAAGGAAACAACTTTTGCTCCTCTGTATAGTGTCTTAGGATGGATGAAATAGGAAATTTTATATTAATGGTGTTATGTCAAATAAAATTATAATGTCCCTATGATTCAAGAGAATCATAAGAAAAATACTGCACCTGCTGGTGTAGTGATACTCAAGATGGTAAATTAATGGGTACGTAGATGCTGGCTGGGAACTTGGGATGCACCATGCCTGTAGTCATTCCTACAGGCTCCTTTCATGACAGGGTAAGCCTGTGCATGGTCCAAACCCAAAATTAAAGTACAATCATGAAGATATGCACTCTAGTTGTGTGTTGTCCCTCCTGCTCCTTTCAGCTGTCAGATATCAGTGCACAGTCACAAATGCCCAGTGCAAAAATATGTGAGGATCATATTTAAGGTAAGGCCTTGGCAGAATCTCTGTGCTTTTAGTCACCCCTATAATCACACCATAAAAACTACTTGACAACAAACTTTAGGACACTTTAAATGGAGGTGTTGTTCTATGATGCCTTTCTTCTACTCCTTCTTCTATAATGTATTTGCATAGAGTTGCCTCTGCCTGTCTTGCGTGTAGTCGTCCCTCTGCAAGGCAGGTTTGTGTGCTGGTGGAAGAAAAGTGTTATTTCTCCTGCTATTGGTCTTTTATCTGCTCCCCATATCTTGAGTCATTGCTGCAGGTTGTTGTTTCTTGATATGCCTTTTAAATACTATTGAGAACAAAGTTTTCTCTTCGCCTATGAGTGTGTATGTGCCTGTGTCTGCATATGAGAGCAAGAAGCTGGCAGGGGCCTAACTCACGTGAAAATGGATATGGCATGACAATCTGAGTAGTAGTTTAGCATCCAGTAGCTTTTTGGGTTTAGGCTGAGCACCTTTGCCTGTCCTCTTCGTGGGACTGAGAGTGAAAAGCATGGCAGTTATGCTAGAGGAGCTCTGTTGGTAGTGTAAGGAGAGATGGCAAGGAATGGCTGGAGAGAAAAGCATTTTTAACTCCACCTTTTTGGGTTGGGGATCAAAGTCAGCTGTGTAGTGTTGTCTAGCATTTCTGCTGGGACTTCACTGTTGTGCAGCTTCCTGTGAGCCCTGCTTCCTTCACTCTAAAATGTGGCCATAATCCAAAATCCACTGCCTGGTGCTAAATAAAGTGGTATAAATTACATACAGTTTTACAGTGCTTTCCTGGGTATTGGCAGAACTAGAGTTGCAGTAAAATGGAGCTGTGGCAATATACTGTGTTTTCTTCGCTTCTCAGAGTTGTATTTAATATGTATGGACTCACTCCAGCTGGTGCATTTTATGTTTCTTCTACTACACAGAGTTTTTTTCCAAAAGAATCAAAACAATGCAGTTTCGTGGAAAACCTTGCCTGCCCTGCTGAGAGTTGCTGAAGTTTTAAAGATCAAACGTGCTAAAGCAAAATGGTTTTGTTTCTTCACTGTTCAAATTGAGACATCAGACTGAGCTTTAAAAAGCTCAAACACAGCTTGTGGTGCAGTAGAATGTTGATAATGAATTTGTTATTTCTTGAGTGCCTTTTGATACCCATCTTGAACGCACCATAATTAAGATGCTTTAGAAAGATAGAAAGAATGCAAAGGAAGACACAGGCCATTACAGTCAGACCTGAGGAACAGACAGCAAAGGGTTGTAAAAATCAAAGTACTCTGTATGCTTCAAAAGGATGCTTTCATGGTGTGTCTTTCTTTTACATTCAGCATGATCTACACTCTGGTGAGCTCTTAACTGAAAGATCATCGTTAAAGACTGAAAACAACAAAGACTGGAAGTGCAAGGACAAGTGAACCAAGTGATGCATGATTAAAAAAGCAACAAGGAAAAATTTGAACCCAAGCAGTTAATAGAGTACATGAAAGAGAGACCCAGCAAGAAGAAGCAGATGACCATGGGAGAATGGCTGAGTTAATTGTTTTTGTCTCCTGTTTCTGAGTATATTGCAGTAAATGACTTTCAAAATCCAAGCAAACAAAAAAATGCAACAAGGACCAAGTTACACAGCTATTCACCTGTCCAGGAATAATGCTGCTTGCTTTAGTGGATTCATTATAAACTATAGTCCCTACTGTCTTCCAGGGAGCAAAGTTTCTTTTCTTAAGGACTCTTCTGGACTGAGGAAGCAGAGGACAAGATAATCTTACACAGAAAGAAGACCTATACAACACATTCTGAAAATGAGCACTGAGTGGACTTCAGATAAGATATATGACTGTCCTGAAGGGACATTCACATGATACTAAGCAAACAGGGATGTCAAATCTCATGGAACTCTTTCAGTGGTTTTGTTTGGGTTTTTTTTCCACCAAAATAACAATGACAAAAGAATTTGCAGTTGCAATATTCTGTTTTCTGATTATATGCTATTCCTGCAGGTGAACACCCAGTATGTTTCTGTACTTCATTTGTGATATGCCAGTAACATACAGTGATATGTATAAATACATTGGGTTTGACCTAAACGTGCCAAGCACTTATCAGAATAGTGTTCCTCTGACTGGAAAAAAAAAATCCAAGGTATAAGCTGCATATATTAAGGAGGGTTGTAACATAGGTATTATATTCATCACAATGCTGGAGAACAAATACTGGACCAGCTAATCATGGCCTGTAATTCTGTTTTGCAGCTTATTTCTGCTGTAAAATTTAAGCCAGAACAAATACACAAAATGTTTTTGTCTTTCATGACATTCGTATTGAAAGTTGTTCATGTTTTTATAATTTAAAAGTTTTTAAATTTTATCATACAAGTCTCATTTAAATTCACATATATAGGCTGTATGTCTTTATATATATATACATATATATATATACAAATACACATCTACATAAATAATCACAATCTATTTACATTTTAGATTAATCCATCAAGATCAAAGGCATTGAGTGTCCAGAACTGCTGCTAAATGTATTTCAGCACTGAACCTAGTGAACCTGGGGTCATTCCCTCAAAGTCACTGGTGCTCTGGGTAGTAGGCAAGCCTGTAAGTTCAAGACTAACACCAGTGCATGCACAGGCAGTGCTTGGATCTTGCATTGGGATTGAGCTAACAGTTGGGTATGTTGCTAACAGAGATGTGGCAGAGAACAGTGCAGAGAGGCCCATCTGTACCCCAGCTTGTTTACAGCTGGTCTCATTAGCACTAGCTCACTGTTGACCCAGCCAAATTTTGTCTGGCTACTGTGAGCCAGTAGACTGTTCCTGTATCCAAACTCTCAGATCTTTTTCATCTGGGTACAGGACTTCAGCAGGAGAGATGGAGTCTCACGTTCAGCACTGCCTCTGTGCTAACATACCCTGTTTCAGAGCATGGTGCAGAAGCCATGGCTGCGTGAGTCATCCCGTGTCTGGCAGGTTCCGGACTGAGCTGGAGTTACTGTATGTATGCAGTGCCAAGACTCTTTCTGCTTTGATCTGGCTACATTAACAAAATTAAATCCTGTTAGCTTGCAGAGCACAGTGTCTGCATGCAAACTGTCTGCTCCTGGGCCGTGCCAACTCTGGAATCACACCTGGACGTTGCTTGGAAGAGTGCTAGCTGGTCTGAGCAAACAGTATACCAGATTCATTCTAACAGTATTTAGATGGTGAAGTTGTCCCAGGGGCTGACATTCTTTAATTCACAAGTACAGACATAGCCAGTAGGTCTTTCTGGATGTAGTTTAGCTTCATACAAGTATGTTCCCAGTTCTGTAAGCATACAACAAGGCTGACAAATCAGATTACTTGGAAAGCTAATTTGGGCTCTTATAGTTCATAAGTTTGGATTGCACACACTACAGAGGTGACTAAACTGCTCTTGAAATCACACTGGCCCTGCAAGCAATACAGATGTGTTTGCTTGGAGTGAGCTTGAGCTAAGAAACTTCACTGGATCATTACGGAGCTAACTCATAAAGCTCTGCTGCTGGGGTATAATTAATGCACAACTCATAAAAAATTGATGATTGTAACTGAAGTTCTTCTCTACGACCTAACTAATGCATCTAGTTCTACAGAAGTATAGGAACTAGATTCACAAGAACAAATTACAGTGAATAACTTCTAGATATCTTGCTACCTCATAAAACTCTCAACTGAGCAGGTGACTGAATCTTTCCATGCCTCTTCTAGGATGTATAGGAGATGGAAAGAAATTAATTCAGGTTTCCTATATTTCAGATACATGCTTTAAAGTCAGTTTCATTAAAAGGCTTGCAATTTTTTTGTGTGTTTGGATGGGTGAAAGATTGATCACATCTTGCCTGAAAACACACAATTTTCAAATCCTGAGATTTAGGCATGAGCTGGACTGCTAGCAGGTCAGTTGTTTGCCTACGGGGCTGGATATAGAAGCTCTGTGAGTTTGTGTAACTGGCATTGTCATGTAATTCTTGACTTTGCACAGGAAGCATTTGCATATGTGCATCTTCTGAATGAACCTTCAGGTGACTTCAAGGACATAATGCTTGAATGGACTTGCTAGGTCATTTCAAACAGGTTCTCTATTTCAGGCAACTTCATCAATATACTTATCAAACTCCACTTGAAAGCAGAACACTTCGTATGATCCTACTACGGCTTTAAGCAAATGTTTCCAGGATCTCAGTGCTCTGGTACTAGAAAATTTTTCTGTATTTCCAGAGTAAATTTATTCTTAGATAATTTATTCCACTTGCTTTGGAACCAACATTAGCCTAAATACACCTTCTCTCATGCTGCTTAAGACTTCAATGTACAGAGAAAGGAGTCCTTTTCAGCCTCTGTTCTGTTAAGAGTGAGCTGTCTCACGTCCTCCTGTAGAAAAGCTCTCCATTCCCCATATCTTCTTTAAAGGATTTCTCTGTTGTCTTTCCAGTCGAAATAATCTTTCTTAAGAGTGGATGATCACAACTGTCCAGAGTATTCTGGAGAATATCTTACTTTGACTAATCCTTACTATGAATGGACAATGAAAGCTAACGTTCCCAGTTCTTTCTAATAATCCTTATTAAAAAAAGTAATCACACTGCTCTCAATAGCATTTTATTTCTCTTCAAGATAAATCTTAGTTTAAAGTCTATGGAAAAATTGTTTAATATTAGGATATTTTCCCTTTCATTGTATTTAGTGAAACTTCTCCTGAGCAGAAATAATTTATGAAACTGGCCAAAGCATTAATTGAAGGAAGTTTCAATGCAAAACAGGTATTGCCAAGTCAAGACCTTCAAAGGTGTCTGCCAGTATCTAGAAGCTGCTAGTGCTCTGGACCTCACAGACAGCAGGGTAAGATATAGCCCTCAGCATGTTCCTTGCTCTGTGTTGTTACCCAGGGGTTGCAGTATCTTGCTGGGAACTCATATATAGTGAACGTTCTTAAGACCAGATTTGTCATTTTCTCTGTTAGACTTGTCAGCCATGTTATAAAAGAAGCACAAATAGAGGAAAGAAGAATGAAGGATAAAAGAAGCACAAATATAGGAAGGAAGAATGAAGGATAAAAGACAACTGTTGCTCTCTTAGTCCCTCACCATGTATGTGACTGATTACAAGCTAAGTCTACTTCACCCAGAGGATGGTTGGGCAGTAGAACAGACTCCCCAGGGAAGTGGTCACAGCACCAAGCCTGACAGAGCTCACGAAGCACTTGGACAACACTCTCAGGCACATGGTGTGATTGTTGGGGCTGTCCTGTGCAGGGCCAGGAGCTGGACTTCGATGATCCTTGTGAGTTCCTTCCAACTCAGGATATTCTATGATTCTACTTTAACCAAAGCAAGGGAAGTAAACTGCATAGTTGTTGCTGAAGAACAGAAAAAAATGAAGTGATCTTTGGTCACAAGGAAGTCTCTTCCCCTTGTCACACTTCTAAGGGAGAAATAATGCATGCTGCCCCTTTTTGTCTCCAGTTCCATCTTTTGGTTGGTGAAGGCTACAGATTTTCTCCCCAAGCCTGCTTCCTTCCTGTCTCTTTTCCTGAAAGGGTTAATGTCATTACTTAGGCACAGCAGTCCTCTTCTCTTCTCTTACATGCTCTGGTGATACAGATAGATCCCAGAAAAGACATAAGAAAACACGTCATCTCCCTTTGCTCCTTCAAGCAAGTGTGCAGTGAGCACATGCTTAAGTAAGTATTTATTTTCCTCATTTGTACCATCTGTGAAGTGAGAAAGGTGAACCTAGCTTGTGAAATCTTTCCATATATGTAGTACTCTTTTTTTTTTCCCCTGTAACTGTTGAATCTGCTTAAAGGAAAAAGGTAGAACATGAAAAGAAAAAGTGGAAGAGGATAAGACCTGAATGAGCTGCTTACCCAAGGGGTAGCTACACAATGTGCTGGCCTGTGGCTGCCTGTTCCTGGAAGGGACGAAAAGGCAGCCCTGTTGGCAAGGTGTTGCTCTGAGGCTCTGCCTGTCCTATTTTTAGTCAGGTAATTGCAGTGATGCTGAATAAAATTGTTGCTGCTATGACTGTTTCAGTTTCAAATACAGCAAATCAGTGCTGATAGCAGAATGCTTCGCCTACAAATAATTAGCTATACTTAAGCTGTCAGAAATGTTTTTCCATCTGCTTCCTTGAGCCATACTCTTCCTTTTGCACTAAGCCAGTGAAAGTGGAATAAAAAGTTCTGTAACCTACACCTTCTTACAGAAACTGTTCTGGGGTTGTTATGATCTGGCACTGCTGCTGGGTCATGATTACTCATACATTATTAATAGGGGTACTAGCAATCTGTTGCTTTTCCTTTCTCCATTCCATCTCCACACAGATATTTTTGCTAAAAAAAAAAAAATGTACAGGGCATGATCCAAAAATCCTTGAATGTAATGAGTATTTCCTTTTGTTTCCAATACACTTCATCTATAATGTCCATTACTCTAGAGCTACATGGGAAACACGGTCACACTGGAAAGTCTCTAGATTTTTACTAGTAGAAATCCCATCCTTTAAATCTTGATATCACATCCATTTAACTAAATTATGTTAATGGAAGAGGAACCTCCATTTTTGAGGGATAAGGGTAACATTTCAATGCTCATGCCAAACTGTCACAGAAAGTTATATCAACTTGGTAAAAATCTGGCTTCATGGGAGTTAATGGAAATCATACCTCTTCTTTTAATGTGAGCCCCACTTACCATTGTACAATTTCTACCAAGAGGTCAGTTGAAATTAAAAAAAGGAAAAACCCCACCAAACACAATAAGTTTAGTTAATCAAAAATGTTATTGGATGTTAGATAAAGCTTGGGGTGCTACAAATAGAACAGGAGATGAAAAAGTCAAAGCGAGAGGTGGTTTTTTATTATTTGGGAAGCAACAAATATTAGACTGCCATCCATGCTGCACTGAATTTTACATTGCTGATCTCAGTCCATATTCCTGCGCTGGTGAGTTTTTTGATCATTTATTGCTCATGAACACATTGTTCTGATTTATTTTTGTTCTGCTCAGTAATGCAGTTGTAAGTGGGAAGGAGGGAAAATTCTCCTCTGAAATACAATATTCCCCTTCTTTTCTCCCAGATAACCTGTGAACATGCTGTAACAAAATTCTGATGATGGGTTTCAAAGGTACACCTCAACTGAAGAGTGAAACTGTTTGCTGCAGATGATATTATGATGCAATTTAACAAACCACAGTTTTAGAAATATTTTTAGGTGCTTACACACTTAAAGTAGTTATTTTATTGCCTCTGATTGCTGGCCAACTTCTCGTGTAAGAGAAAATATACTTCTGTGGCCTGATTCCATGACTTTCTTTGTAGTCAAACTCTCGGTAAAACTGAGGAACACGAAGTGCATTTTAATTATTTTTTTCCTAAGAATGGCATCCCATATTTGGGTAATATGTTATGGAAGTGGAATGAAGCATTAAAAAGCCGAAATATCTTACTTAGTCTAAATTTTGAAGAGATGTTCCTCCTTTTCTTCCATGAATTATTCCTAATATCAGTGGTTTCTTGACAGATCTGAAGAAATCTGCCTGTTCTGACAGTTTCAGTCTTTTTAAACAGATTTGCCACCACTGATCATTAGCATGAAACACTGACTGGAAAGCGTAGCTCCTACAGGCCACCCCAAGATTTGTGCAAATGTCTTAAATAACACAGAAGGAATCCAGTCTTATGGAATAGCTTGCACCTGTGCATAGTAATATAAAGTAACAATCAAATAATATAAGTAATACATAGCACAAGTCAAATAGTACAAGCCAAGCAGGATTTCTGTCTGTATTTCTGTGTTCTCTATGTAATACATTTTTTTTTGGTAATACAGTATTTTGCTTGTTGTAAAAAGCAATATAATATACAAGACCAAAGATAATCAGGCTGCTGCAGTTAACAGGAATGCAGAGTTTGAGCATAGTTATTTCTAAACATTTCAAATAATTACTGTTTCTGACAGTTATTGACAGCTTGTAGTTACTGGAGGTGCAAATTCTGGTGTTAATAGTAGCTTTAGCAATACATACATTTGCTTCTTTTGGAATAAGAATCCATATTCCTTTCTAAAACATATTTAACATATTTACAGACCTTATATGACTCTCAGTATATAGAAACTTTAAATGTATTACGAAAAATAAAATGCAAATACGAAATACAGCAAACATGGCAGGTTATTTAGCAAATTTCTAGACAACCTTCTTATTCAAAGAAAATTTCTTGGTTTGATGTCATTTATTGTGGGTCTCTGGACTGTCAAAGTCCACCTGAATGCTACCATTGCCAACACCAACAGTTCAGCACGAATATGAGGAGATGCACGCTCGGTTATATCTTCCCGACTGCCCAGAAACATCTCATCATGTAGCCACCTTTCCTGCAGAGCAGATGACATCCACTTTGTCACTTTGAATCCCTTGACCTTTAAGAAGGGAAGAACATCACAGTGCAAAACTGTTCTTAGCCATTTGCAGCCAATGATGTTGACCTACCTTGCCCTTACAGGCACATACTGGTCTCCAGATTGAAAAGTACCATCAAGCAAGAGCAGTTTTCACTGACCTGTTCTTGAACTTCAACTTCTACTATTTTGGAGTGGTTTTTTTGGTTTGGTTTGGTTTTTTATTTTGTCTGAAAGGAAGAGTTGTTCTCTATGCATAATGACCAGCGTTGTTACATTGGTTTTGGAAGCATTCTTCAAGCTCCCTTTTGTTTGGTGCATTTTAGTACATATAAAAGCATACTAAATCCACGTATCCTTTCTTATAAGATGAAAACAATGGGAGCACTGAAAGAAAATGTGAGGCACAGATGCAAAATATGAAAAGAAAGATAAATATTTTAATCAATGAACACATTGCCACAACTGATACAAGTATCAGGACACCCAATATTCAGTATTGTTCCATTTGAACCTATACCCTTATGCAAATAACAAACACTTCCGTAGCTACATTTGAAAGAATAAAACTATAGAAGAGTTAGAAACCCACAGCTTTCAGGAGCCATCCAATTGCCAGTGGTTTGAGTTCAGCAGATTATTTACCCTATCACCTGCTTATCTAGTACAAAGTATTTTCCACTTTGTTCTGAAATGTTTAGAGGTGGCTGCTATTAGTGATGGCAGCTGAAGCCAGATGGACCATTGCTGTGTTCATTCAAGGACTTGGATTCTGTTCTTGAATGACCATAGAACATCTACAGAATTGGAAACTGTGTTTCAAATTATTAACTTCTCTACACTGATAAAAATTTCAAAATCTCCTAAATGACATTGGAGTGTGAGTGTAATTTTCACAAATACTTGTTTATTTACTTAGAATCCTAAAAACCTCATGAAAGTGAGATGAAAGACTTGCCTATATACCAAGAGTTCAGTACTCAGGAGAGAGCAGTAAGAATTTGGCTCATGGTAGCTATTCCTCACCAGGTCCTTGTGTTTGCTCTCAATACACTACAACCTTGTAAAGCAAAGTCTGCAGTTTCACAGGTAGTTTGCACTGGAAGTGCCCACAGAGGAAGTTGATGCAGTATAGCTAATGTATTCTTTGGTCCTTTGTTGCTCTTTTAGATTCACTTTCCCAACAGATGAACCCTTAGACTCCTGAATTCTTTAGGCACTTTAAAGTGTTATTTGAGTACAGTCTGCTCACTTCTGTTAACTGCAGGGTACATACTCTAACCAACTAACCAAAACGGATATAAAAATAAGGCAAAGCCAGATAATCCTTTTTTAAGAAATTAAGTTCTCATCATTGAATTATCAGAACTGAGAAATGAGAGTTCAGCTCTTGCCTGTTACCCACCCTTCCTTTGTCACTTTGGGCAGGCACTTAACCTCTCAGCTCACAGTCTCCTAACTGGAGGTGATGGCGCTTTCTTCTCCCTCATTTTGTCTGTCTTGTCAGTTTAGATTATGAGCTCTTGTGAGATGGAGCCATTTCTTTCTCTGAGTAATGCCTGGCACTGCGTAGCTGAAATTGGGAATTACATGTCTAGATGGTATCGTAATCCTAAATAATTAATACTTTTTATCATGGGAGGAAACATCAGAATTCAATGGAATTAGTCAAAATGTATTTTTTCCTGTGTCACCAAGATTGGTACCTGACCTGGTCTGTTGCTGTGCCTTAGGGCCTACTGACAAACTGAAGTGTGCTTTAGCTCTGAATGCATGTAATGCTGTAATTTGATGCTGCCAAAAAGCACTA